AAAAATAAATTTAGGTTATAGAGAATCGCCCGAATGTTGTTCTCATTTGCTTTCTAGTCGTGATATGGAGGCTGCTTCTGAAGGGTAACACGAAATCTTAAAGTGCCATATATCACATGCCTTCTTGTTTTCTTCCGGAGGGAAATTCGATGAACTCTCCTTTTCATACAGTCGTGAAATCTTTCACTTTTTTCATTTGAATCTTTGATATTTAATCTCTCTTTCTGGTTAAGATTTTGGCGGGAGATTTTGCTTGGAGAGGAAGCATGAAGCGCATCACGAACATGGTGGATCGTGATGGAGAGTAGATAGCGAGTACGAGTGCTTCTAATAAGCACTCTGGGGAATATCCAACTAGTCTCATATCCCTAGACACTTCTTCGTCATGCCAATAACTCTTTATCAAAACTGTATCGTCTTCAAACGCTAAAACGCTACAAAAGAGAGTAATATTTTTGCTCGATATTCTGTCGAATATTGTACAATGAAAATAACAAACTAGTCTACATCCCATATTATGTCGATGAGCTTAATCTACCCCTATACTTTTAGGAACACGGGGTAAATTAATGTAGAATGATTATAGAGTATATCAAATATAAATGTCCATCTAGTTTGTGAACAGATAATGTTATATATTTTGTATTCATTAATGAATAAGGATTTCTACTCACATCTACTAAAATAAGAAAATATTTGGTATTTTCATTACTGATAAAGATCAAAGTAATCATAGTGAACAGAGACGAGCCTTCATAATTATACGAATCTATACGTGTTACGCCTATGTTATTCATCCTCATGACCGTAAGCAAAACGCCATTTAATATGCTATTTTTATCCCAGGCACATATTTTGCCCATCAACTGAAGCAGCTAATATTTTGCCGTATGTAATATATAAAAAAAGACTTCAGGCCAACTGAGACTATAGTATATCTCAGCACGCATTATTGCGCTTCGGATAAACATAACATACAGCATTGCAGACAAAAAAAATGTTTCATTCACGCTGAAATTCTAACTGCTATGATAACATCAAAAGATGAGAAAGGAGGACTTTAAACAGAGTGGGAGAAAGAGAGAAAGAAGCAGACAGACAGAAAGAGAACGGAAAGAGAATATAAATCTACTTGAACGAGAAAGAGAGGAAGATTATAATTATATAAAACGATAGAGGTAGCAAGAAAGAAAGAAAAAGAAGGAAAGGAAACAACTTCGTTTGAAGAAAAAAAGTTAAACAGAATCTGAGGAATTCCTGTTTTATAACACGGAAAAATTCTGTTTGGGCAAGTGCTCATGTGATCATGCATGAATGTACATGTCTGTCACTCAAGACTAGCAAAATATATTTTGAAATCGTAATTATTATTTCCAACATGACGGACAGGACAAGAGCAATAATAAACAAAACTTTAGTGCCTCTTCTCATCATTTAACCTGAGGATAGTTTCTAATAAAAACAGTCCTGATAAAAACACTAGACGATGGAACTGTGGCTGTAGCTTGGAGAGATGATAATGAGTTCAATAAACGTCTGCACATCATATTGCATTGTATTCACCGTAAACATGCATTGCATCACTCCATATTATCATTTCGTTCATAAGAAATGTACTAACTATCCAAATGTCGAGAAGTACTGGTAACCGCTGCAGGTGGGGGTGGGGGGGTGTTTAAGTAAGTTATCCTATTCCAGCTAGTGCTGCTTTATAGTCGCCTCTGACTCTATCACTTGAAGTAAAGCTTAGGTTAGAGAATATCTCGTGTTACACGAATCGAAAGATGCCTTAACACATTCAAACTGGTCGCATCGTTATTCAATAAGGGAACATTATCCAAACTATGCATGTCATCCATCCTAGGGTTCACGATGAAATGACTTCATCACCATAGGAACGGAATTGTAGAGATGATGTGAACGTGTAAGAACTAAGTGACATTCATACATTCTCTATTGACTAGGGCATTTTTAAAAAATACTTTTCACAAAGCTTTTTTTTGTGTAAAAAAAGATAGATGTGGTGCGCACTTTGATAGTATGTTCACATTAAGGAAGTCACCATATGTGAATATCTATCTTTAAATCAAAACTGAAAGCACGTTTTTTCAATTAACTGTAAATATAAGCATATCAGGAGCTCTTGCAGTGCAGTAGAATATATACTTAATGTCGAATAGTTTCTGCGCTCTGTAAATAATAAAAAAAAAAAAATAATACTCAGTTTTTATATAGCGCTTATCAGAATCACTAAGCGCTTCCAAACTTGGAGATTATTACCCCGGCTTTAGCTGTGCATTATTATTAGTATTAATATTGTTTATGCTAGAAAGAGTCTAAATTATTTCTCTACTATGAAGTTATAGATATACTTGGAAGCATATGGATTGTAAGTGTAGAGGGTGAAATTCCTTCTTTAAAATAGTGAGTTTCAGTAGGTAAGAGATATTACACACTCACTGACTTACACAAGAAAGATAAATTCAGCCCCATTGCCAAATTGTTGGGAAGGAAAACAAATCAAAATTGTATCTACATTTCTCCTTTCCAACCAGGTGCTGAATGTGTACCTGGTAGGATGCGAACGCATTAGCATGTGCGCGCAAATAATAGGGCGACTGGCTGGAATGTTCCCAAAGGGAGTGGAGAGAGTGCACTGTAAAGTGCAGGATCGTAACAGAATCCTGTGACCGGGGGCAATAACACAGTGAGCGCTTTGGTCGGTTACGTTGCAATTAGTTAAGAGCTTTATAAAACAAAACAGTAATAATATAAAATGTAGGTTACATCTACAATCGGTACCTAAGATTGTTCAGTTTGGAAATAATGGTACTGGTTCCGTACACATGCGATCGAGGAATGCACTGCAATAACATCAAGAACAAGTCAAAAAATCATGTCTGAAATGTCCACTAAATGGCCAAAGTACAAGTTTGATTAAGCATCCAAATACGAGGTGTGTTTGAGGACAAACAAATCGTTTATCCAATTGACTGGTAAAATAATAAATACGGTTGGAAAAGCGTTGTAGGTATCTCGCTTTAAAAAAACAAGTGTTGATGAATCTGTTTGATATTATATCCATATCCCTATATTAAAACCATCTGGGCCCCGTCTTACAAAGAGTTACGATTGATCCAAATCAATCGTAAGTCCTCCAATCAATCGTAAGTTTGCAGTCTCCTATCTCTTATGTACATAGTTACGATTGATATCAATCGCAAATAAGTTACGATTGATATCAACTCTTTGTAAGACGGGGCCCAGGTTCACAGAAAGATAAACATGATAAGTGAAGTGAATTGTAATTATGCGTATTTTTAGAACTACCTTAGGTGCCTTTCTTATAACAGCTCAATGTCGTTTTTATACAAATAGATGCCAAATAAAATAATTGGGGGGTAAGCTATTTTTAAAAGCATGGACGAAAATGAATGTAAACACTTGAAAATGTATGTTGCCTTTAGCAAACGCTTGTCCCTGATTTCATGCATTAGAACTCTCTGATTAGAATGTCATATTTTATTAAATTCTAATTGCCAGAGTTATTCAAAGCTTTCCAGCATGTTTGATATGAATATAGTAACACCAAACACAACTGAATTATGCATGAAATAGCAAAACAGGGATGAGGTGTTTTTTTCCCACCTGTCTCTTGGTTAAGACGTAACTGAATGCAGCGCTTTAAACATAATAAATGAATCAAGATCGAGGTCATTTTGCTAATACACAGATGTAGATCCACAATATGCAACAAGATTTTACCTGGCTATTAGAAAATTATTATTAGCTAGAGAGTGAATATCACGAGAAGAACACCCTCAGCTACAGAAGATAACTTGTATAGCGTTACTACAAGTAGGTCAAGGGAGAATGAATGACCTAACTGTAATTTGATTTGTGCACACGAAGTCACCATCTGATGCATTAATTCGAATGTCTACTGGCGTCTGCATGGTTTCCCAATGGACATGTGACTAAAAACAGACGAACATCCTCCCTCCTCTCCCCTTTTAAAATATTGTTACTTTTCAATTTTAATGGAAGTCATAATTTTATGCAGTTTTATACACATCTATAGTTCGAATAAGCATGAACAAAAATGCAACTGATTTAAAAACTGATACGATAATGCAATATTATTTATTTATTTATTACGGTGATCGGTAATATGACTGATTTGCAATATTGATTCGCGTTACGTCCATCATATTTCAAATCAAATGTCTAACGTTACAAAAATTTGGGTAAATCTTTCTTAAAATAGTATTCCCGCCATGATCATGAAACTAGGATATGTTCTACGAGCAGGTTATCATTTGATTGGTTTCTGATTCATTCATATTAGGGTAATGATATATTCATCTATTTACATTAAAATATAGCATGGTTTAACTCCATTTCCAAACATTTGTTTGTCCATTTGTCTCCATTCAATTGCATTGCAGGAAACCAGTCACATTTCCATTGGCTGGCAGAATATTTGCTAATGTATTGAGGATTGAGAGTGGTAAGCTTAAGTGATGGGCACTGTAGTTTTTGGAAACGCTCTCAATCTCCATTCGCTTTCATGCTCGGTGGGGCCGCAAAAGGTTTTAGCATATACCGTCATGTTCGAATTGCATCTTTTATGACTCGTGCACTGCTGAACATTGTGTTAAGTCTCTACTCCATTAGTCTGTTTGTATGTTATTCTAGGGGGTCGATAATCCGTACTTAAGACAAAATAATGGGCATCATGCAGTCAGTGTCATACAATGGAATTAAGATGGCGACCGAGAACTTAATTTCCAAAAGGCTTTATTCCTCTGAAACTTAAAATATGTGTGGTATTGTTGTCATTCTGTAAAGAGTCAATCTTTAATAGGTCCCAAAAAGATTGAATAATAGAGAGGAGAACATTTTAAAATGAAATTTTATTTAATGATAAGGAACTTTTTGTGACGTCCCACTAAGTAGCTCCGATATGCTTATTGAATACAAAGATGGCGTCAACTCACCTGTGATGCTAAGGCTGGCATATAAAAACCACACTGCAGACATACTGGTCTCTCGCAGTCTGTACACTCCAACCCTTCCTGAGCAGATCCGGGTATAGCACATTCATCAAGTTCAGTCCTGTTACAGACTGGACATAGATTATTGGGTAGACCTTCCCCGACACTGGATGCGTCCGATGCTCGACGCTTGATGTCTTTGGTGTACTTGGTAAAGTCGTCTTCAAGATTCCTGTCATGGAGGACAATAAATCGAATAGACAGGAGGAAATTGAAATGAGTGTAATCGTTGTCATACCACAAATGAAAAATAGAGGTCAATCCAAGAGCGCCCCTTGTTCTCAACGTGCAAGATTTGTTGACAGCTTTAATTCACGTGACATTATAATCTATGTAAGATGTGGAACAATGATGTTATTGTGTGATTTGCATTAACAAAATAGAATATCGCAAATGAAAAGAGAGGTAAAATCCAAAAGCAGCTCGTGTTCAACGTGCACGATTTGTTGGCCGCTGTAATTCCCGTGGAATTATAATCTATGTAAGATGTGGAACAATCGTGTTACTGTGTGACTTGCTTTAACACATTAGAATATCGCAAATGAAAATACAGGTAAAATCCATGAGCAGCCCGTGTGAAACGTGCAAGATTTGTTTACAGCTCTAATAATCGTGTCATTTTAATCTATGTGAGATGTGGAACAATCGTATTACTGTGTGGCTTGCATTAACAGAATGAAATATCACAAATGAAAATAGAGGCAAAATCCAAAAGCAGCCCGTGTTCAACGTGCAAGATTTGTTTACAGCTCTAAATTACGTGGCATTCCAATCTATGTAAGATGTGGAACAATCGTGTTGCTGTGGAACTTGCATCAACAAAATTTTATATTACAAATGAAAATAGAGGTAAAATCCAAGAGCAGCCCGTGTTCAGCGTGCAAGATCAGTTGACAACTCTAATAATCGTGTTATTCTAATCTATGTGAGATGTGGAACAATCTTGTTGCTGTGGAACTTGCATGAACAGAATGTGATGAGCAATTTTGTTCGCGTGAGTCGAGGGTTTTGTTAATGTGGTTTTTGGAGTGAAACAATTACAGAATGTCTCCTTACAATATTAATGATAATTCTGATTAGTCTCTGATTACCAAGATTAATTTGACCGCCTTTCCTCCTGCTGCTGACTCTGTCCATCGTCCTTGTACGTCACATTGACCCCATATATCTCTCAATCCCCACCCACCCCTCTTTCTCTCTCTCTCTCTATCTCTATCTCGCTCAACACACACACGCTCGCACACACACACACACGCATATTAAATATATCTTTCTCTTCAATAATCATTCACCCTCTCTCTGTATATCAACCTCACTACATTTCTGCTTTAATTTTTTTTTTATCTTTCTAGTTTGATGTGTCTATTCATCTACATGCATTCAGTACAATTTATCTGACTCTATTTCAGTCACACATCCATTGATAAGACTCTTACCATCTTTAATCCCAAGTTACTTCGGAGTCCATCGCATAGATAATGGAACAGAATAAATGAATATTCCCACGGTTGATCAATAAGCGTGTGTGATTATCAACAAACACTGGTCGTTCTAAATTCTTGATAGAGATGTCAGACTTGCGTGGTAAGCCCATTTCTATGCATTTGAAAAGAATCCACTTCGCACATGGCAGCTCTCTTACCTTTTAATGCTGGAGGCCCACTCGCAAACACAATTTTAATTACGCCATAACACCGTGAAGAGAGGATCAACAACTGCATCAATAATCCAAGTGCGTGGTTGGATTTAGTGAAAAGGATGCAGCAGTGCGATGCAAGTCAGATGTAAAGATTAATATAATAACAAAGCGACGAACGTAGATAATTATGAAGAACCATGACATACACTATGACCATTGCATGTTGTGTTGTCTCTCTTTCCTCTGCCTGATTAGTGTATGAACGATGGTACGCAGTTAGCATCCAACTTGAGATGAGCAACCTATTGCTCCGAAGAGGTATGAGGTGATACCCATCTCCTAAGCAGTTTAGGTTACTTAATGTGCATGTTGAGGAATGTACGATGTAAGCTATACGTGGGGCTAGTGGGTGACAATAACTTAGGGATAGGCTGACGGGGGTAATTGAGTCAACGTAATGACATATTGGAGAAGGACATCGTTACATGCGTCTAGAATACATAATGTCAACTTGAATAATGCAACAGGATGCCCGTGGGTATGGCAAAGATCAAGGCTAGTCTTCCATCTTCAGGAACAGTTTTGACACTAACCCATGAATCGTGCCGCCGTCACGCCTCCTGAAAAGCCAAAGTTTGCACCTCAATACGTCAGGCCCCCGTGTGATCTCGTGAATACTGCAAATCCTTTTAATGACCAATTTGCTATCACTTGTTTACACGATACGCAAAAATAGCTTTAGGACTTTCAAAGTGTAAGCTGCTTTCTTGTGATGAAATGAGTTAAGTTATCTACTTGCCAGGTATCTGAGGAAACAGATTCGACAGATCTCTAAGATATATTATGATCAAAATGCATAAATGCATTGTAGTATGTTGAAGCTAATACATTTTTTAATTCTTTTCTGGCAACTTAACTTTGCAGAAAAAACATTTATATTAGAGAAAAGTAGAACAAATTTGTCATTCCAAAACAAATGTCTTGTGACTTCAACAATGATTATACACCAGTTGCAATGCTGAAGAGCTTATAGACCATTTTCAAACTTGACTGTGTTTACATTTATTGTGTTTCACTCGATTTTCAAAGGGATGCAGGTAACAGCATTAATTTTGCTGTAACCATCTACAGCCATGTTTTCCTGATTACCTAACTCTCCATGACATTCCTTGAATGTTACCCGTAAGAACACACCAGTCAACTTAACAATCGATCCTCATGTGACATAAATCATAGGACAATAATTAAAACCTCCATTAGGGTCTCGTCACAAAGCTATATTTAGCTGTTGTAAATGAAGACCTTGGGCTTCGTTAGAGAGGCTATATCGGAAACAACGGTGCGACTCTATCTACTAATGATATACAGGAAGTGAGATTGAGTACCATTGAAGCACCTGCTACACGACGCTAGGACTAGCAAGCAGAGGTCGGGGTGTTGAGGGTATACCCAGTGATGATCAAAAATGGATAGGAGAGATAGAATCATGTCAACTACACCTGCGGGTCTGTTCCACTCCTTAAACGTAATATTTCAGTTCGATGATTTGATTTGATTCAGCAGATGATGCCATGACTGCTGATAAGGATTTACACCTCGAATGGAAGTCCTAATAGCAGATTGGTGTGATTCAATAACAAATGCTACATTTACTTAAATTGTGACATTCTCATATATTTGTAGTCACATTTTGATTGAGACAAATCCTGTGACGTTTCATCAAATACGATTATTGCTTATGGTGTTGATAATCAGATTTTGTTCATTAATGTAAGATGACAAAACTGCAGTAGCATTCTACTCCCTATGCACTCTGTCTTGCGTCGTAAAATTATATCAAGAAATAAAAGAGATTTTGCACCTATCCTGGAATGTATAGGATAGCAGAATATTTTGACCCAATTCATGACAGGAACTCTTTTAAGAAATCCATTCTAATGCGAAATTCAAATAAGAATAATCTAATCATACATTTCACCTATTCAAACATTTCTTGACGGTTATGAATTTACAGCGAAAGCAAATAGAAACGCATTCAATATATTTATCTGGAACAAACTTAAAAGACTTGAGGAAGTGGAACTTATTAGCTCTTGGGAAAGGCTCTATTAAAGGGAGTTTACAGATACAATCTGCGCATGGGCAGATAAAGGTCATTTGTACGAAAAAGGTAAAACCCACCAGAGATGAATACTGGATATGCGCTCATGAAAGTTACGTAACATTATTCATTTATGCACCAACGGTACATTCCAAGATACGCAGGTGGAAGTATTCTTTTCAAGAGGGCAAACAAAAGGTATTCATGAAGCACATCTAGGACTTTGGCAGTTATTATTCTAAGATGCCCAAAGTGGAACTTCTCCATGTGTAAAAGATCTGTGGATATTTGGGGTCATTTGTACCATGTGCTTTCTGTAAACTCCCTTATTAATGACTTAATTGACCAGTGGTGTGTAATGTCTCATTGAGTGCCTTATGTTTAAGCATCACCTGAGAGGCGAGGACATAATGTTTAACGACTATTCTGGATTGTTTCATTCTAATTTGCTTTTTGAAATATCATGTCGTAAGCTTTCTAATTTATCGTTCCATTTTCCCGTAGTACCATGAATTACATTGTCAACAATATTCCAAAATCGAATCTTTACAGATGCGACAAATTGAGACATTCTATTCCAGATTCCTCAGAGAACTATATACACCTGTAGTTGCAATTGTTTATAATTAAGTGTCGTGAAAATCAGTGTGCCTTTAAAGTGACCACGAACTGTTAATATGAACCATTAGAGTGAAGATAAAGCCACTGCGCCTTATCACCCACGCGGCACCTATCCCCGTCGGGCAGATATAACCTCATTTCACTGTCCCCTCTTCTTGCTGGCCTGCCTGCCTGGTGATTTTTTTTATTCGATTCACGTGTAAAATTAAGCTTCACACTATGATGTCTCCAACAGGAATCCAATGTGACCATCAAAATGAGCAAATGAGATTTATCTAGAGGGTCTGGTTCCGCCCTGGCAGCTCCTAGCCGCCATTTTCATCCCATTCCGCCTCCTCTTCTCCTCTGATATATCCTGCAGGCAATATTTCATTATTGTGCTGGGATACCTTGCGTTTGAACTCCTGCTGCTGCTGTTTTGTGATGCTGGTGGATTTTTAATAGGATGCAAGCAGTCATGCGCAGCCTATAATTTACTGCATCTATCACGGTGACGGGGGCTTGTCCACTATATACCTGCGCTTAGTCACGCTTTGTGTGTCTTTTCATGCGAAATTGTCACGATAGAATTTTATGAGAGGAAAGGTGTTCAAAGTGAAGGATTAGGCCTACGCTATATTACCTCTAGCTTCTATGTTTTATGCATATATATATCATTTGACATTAGGATTTAAGAGTCATTAATGGACTTAGAATGCATTACCCTACTTCAAGTTAAACCGCTTCCTTTCTTAGAGAGGGCCCATTTAACCTATACCGTTTGTGGGCGGGATAAATTAAGGGCATCAGTCTTTGTGAATTTACATACGAA